ACATTCTTGCCACCTCTACATAAAGGCATATAAAATATGGCAGGAGAGAAGTGTTTTTTAGACCTAATAACATCTGACCTTCATGGACATGATTACAACATTACTGGATACTGTTAATATCCACAAAAAGGGAAAGTACCTTGTTCTTTACAACTGGCTTTTCATAATAGACATCTTAAAAGATAATGTTTCTTTTTCTTTGTAATTGCTGTTGAAAAAAGTATTAAAACGTGAAAGAATCAATTTTATTATTCTTAAAACCATTAGAATTTATGAAAAAAATGGAAAAAATTAGAATAAAAGTTTGAAAACAAATGATAAATTATAAAATTATTTTTTTATTTATCCGTATAGCAGGTATTTATGCATGTAAAGTATTTTAAATACTAGAACATAGGTGGCGTAATCCTGCCTTGAGTGTACATCTTCAGTCTCGGAAGGAGTACTTGATTGAATACAAGGATGCAAAGGAATCGGCTAAGTTAAGATAATTCCCCAAATCATTGAGAATAATCTAATCAATAGTTCAGGAGGGTAGCTGCATCAGCATGCGTAGGCTGCAAAGGAACAAGTAATAGGTTTATTCCATGCTGAAAAAAAGAAAGAACACAACGTTTCGGCCGTGAAGCCTTCTTCAAGCCTTTTTTCAGCATGGAATAAACCTATTACTTGTTCCTTTGTAATCTAAACAATTCTTGATACCTGTTCTCCACCAATCAATCGATTGGTGAAGCCTAACAGCCCCACCTGCCTTATCCCGGCTTTGCAACACTTCTTTGCAGTTTTTTTTACAATGCCAGTAAACAATATCTGGTGTCACATTTCTCTCCTCCACACTTGCCACTACTACACTGCTTCCCAGCATGTCTCTTTTTACTGGCTCTGGACAACCTAAATCTAGTTTTTATCCTATATGTAACTTGCCTTTTTTGTGAAAATTTTAGAACACGATGTTGCAATACAATTTAACAATCACATCATTACAAACAGTCTTTTTGAACCCTTCTAATCTTGTTTCATACAGTTACACAGCACAGAAATTGTCTTTAGTGAAGTTATTAACAATTTTCTTTAGCAGATTCCAGTTCTCTATCCTATTTCTCCTTGACACTGTTAATCATGCCATTTCACTCTTGTAACGAACAGTTCTTTCCGGACCCTCTGCGGACGACACAATGCAGAATCGTGAGGAAACACTAGGAAAAAAATCATGCAGGAATACAGGGATTAAAAACGGGGGGGGGGCGTGTCCAAAGTGCGCTGGTGCACGGGGGAGGTGTGGCCGAGGCAAACAATCCAAAAGTAATCCAGAGAGGGAATACAAAAACACAAGAATAAGTCCATAGCCAGGCGATCCATCCAACAAGGAATTAAAAACATGAACCGGCGGACAGGGAACGGGACCATGCGCTTCCCGGTCCCGGACTCGCACGATACGGAAATCAGATTCAGAGCCCGGATGAACGTCAGCGCCTGGCTTTTAAGGTGGACTGGGAACACGGGTCAGGTGCACAGAATTAAATTTAAAGTGAAAGAGCCAGAGCGTCCTTAAGAAGGAGGGACTACAATCGTGACAACTCTCCTGTCATGAGACTGGATTTGGAGGTCACTTCACTCTTAAATGGTTCAATTCCTATCTGACTCATTGCTGACACTTGATTTCTCTTGGGTGTTTTACAGTAGTTCCCAAGTAGGATTGTTAAGTCTGTTGAACAAACTCAATATGTTCAGAATTAGGCAGCTAGAATCCAGACCAGGTTGCCTGCAAGTGATCACATTACGCCTGTCTTGGGTTCCTTGCACTGGCTTCCTATCAGGTTTTGAGTCAACATCAATATCCTAATGGTCACCAATAAGGCTTTACATGGCTTGGCAACTCATTACATAATTTTGGCATCCAACTCGTCTTCTACATGTGCCTCAAGCTCATTTATTTTCTATGGGTGACAGGGCCTTCTCCTACGATGCCCCAAAGCTCTGGAATTATATCCCCAAGGATATCAGATAGTCACCTACCCTGAGTGTATTTGAATCAAATCAAAACCTTTCTTTTCAAGGATTTTTCTTAATAAGTTCGTTGTGTGTGCTTTTTTGTCTAACATCTGCTGCCCTTCTAAATACTACTACTACTACTACTAATACTACTACTACTACTACTACTACTAATAATAATAATATAATGATTATTATTATTGTTCTTATTATTATTAGAATAATTTACTCTGGTGAACAATGGAGAGACCTCTTCTTTCAGGACACGACGCAGAATGGTGAATTAAAATGGGATAAGGCTCCCTCCTAGTGGTAGATTGTATGATGACACCTGAAATCTGAAATAAACAGGGAATTACTCTTAAAGTTGATTATCTGTTAATAAATGGAGCAACGTCAATAAAAAAATGTTTTAACATAGTGTAACACCAAGTGTTATGATGCTTCTAATTTAATTGATAATGGCCAGATAGTAAAACATTATACGTAGTGGGCAGTCTCATTTATTATACAGTACATGTACAGTCTAATGCAGTATTTTGCCTCTGGGAATGAGTTAAGTCTTATTTTAGCCTCACTTCTTAAAGTAACAAAAGTTAAATGCTAAATTAGTTAAATATTTTTGTTTCTTCAGTATTTTCTAGATAATGTAGTTCAGAGTAAATCTCCAGGTTATGAACTTATGCCTGTGCTCTTCTTTTGTCTTATATTTGTTTCTTAGAATTCACAGGGAATCATATTTTGTGCTGCTATGCTTTGGCAAAGTGTACATCAAGCTTTTCAAGTACATTTCCTTTCAGCTCTTCTATCACACAGTTAAGGAGGAGGATAGGACTGGTTCTCTGATTTAATCTCATTTTATATTCATTTCATTTTCTAACGTCTGTATGAACCACAAAGTGAATCACAAAAATACAATAAAAGTCAGCATTTCTTATCTTTTTGTTTAGCCAACGTGACTAGAGTATTTCAGGGCAACTGAAACTATTTCTGAAATTCAGTCTGAGAAGGAGAATGAGTGAAAGTTCATATGAAAAATATTAATCTTCTCAAAAGAATATAAATGCAATTTTTTTTATATTTTTAAGAAGTATTTCACCCTTCTTAACATCACAGCCCTAAATAGAGTATTCTGGAACTCTTCTGAGCAGTAGTGAGAGGTCTTCTGGATTTTACTCCATCCAAGTTCTTCAATACTTTGCTGAACCACTTTTGTTTGCTAAAAGAAACACTTTAAACTTTGTTAGCAGATTTTGCATGGACAATACTTTTAGCAGACCTATAGATGTGGAGAACTGTATCCCTCCCGGATCAGGATTGCCCACTGGTGCTTTAGGCTTTGAGTTGATTTAAATATAATTAGAATAGTAGAGATTCAATGCAGCAGTGTGGTTATTACACAGAAACCAATCTTAAATTAAACCTTAAAACTAATTAAAACTTAATTAAAACTTAAATTCCAGTGCTTTGATAGACTACAGTATTAACAAATTCAAGTTATTTTCCCCTCTACACAAAGGTTTAAATAACAATATTACAAGAAAACTACAAGGGGCTCTGAAGGTTTAGTTCCCAAGTCAACTTTCTACTCACTTTCTTTGTCATGGTGAGTGCACTACATGTAAGCTAAGGGAAATGAGAATAATGCCTACTAAGTCTGTATTTGATTAGCCAAACGAGAGTTAGAGAATGAGGCATTTTGCCAGGCAGCTGAACTGTGGGCGTAATAATTTGTTGTTTCTACAACATATGAGATGCAATTCCAGAGCAAGACTGGATATGAATGAAACCTGCACATTTTCAGGTTAATCATTTAAAATTTAAAAGTAGTTTTTTTATATATTGTATGTGCGTCAGGCCACCATGTTGTTTTTTTAAGCAGAACCCCAATATTTATGGCTTATGTTTCACTGTTTATCCGTCTATTATGAAGCTGCTGTCCATACCTTTGAACAAAAGTTTAAAAAAGAAGCAGAAGAAGAAAAGAAAACTATTTTCTATATTGCCTATTGGCTATAGGCAAAGTTTGGAAGTGAAAAACGCCTTGCAACCCCAATGGGCTTTCCCTTTTTGACAGTCTAATTAACCCAACCCATGATACCATGGCCTCTTCTTACTGCATTTCAGTGTTCATTTTTTGTGCAGTGGTGTGGTGAACTCTCAGAATACAGAAAAAACAGTTTTGTTTACTGCAGCTGTTTTAAAGAAATCTTACATGTCTTTTACCACACAAAACTTCACTTGGAGTGACTTATGACTTACAAACCTCCTCCAAACCTGTTAGATTTCACAACGCGCTGGTACTACCGCAGCACGACAGTTGCAGAATACTTTCTTCTTGCTTTTATAGTTAACTTGTCATAGCTGTGGTCACAAATATCATCGTTTCAGCACCATCGTCAAAAATGCCCCGGAATGTGGCCATCTTGTTGTTGTCTTCTTGGATCGCTGACTTGCACAGTGAAATTTCATGTAGCCTGTTAACCCTACTTACTGCAACTCAGTCCCAGGGTGCAGGTGATCGTTCTGGCTTGTATGCGCCCAGTGAGAACAACCTGGCTCACTGAAGTTGCGTATGCTTAGAGTGTGAAAAATAAACCCATCGAAGGTATTCCGGATATAAATGGCATTACTTGTCGTAGATCAATAAAAATGCATATTTAAAATGAAGTTTTCGGCGTTAACAGTGTAAGCTATCGAGTGCACTATCATTTGGTCCATGTTTTACCAAAAAAGATCCATGTGCACGCCGTTTTAGATATCACGGGTTTCGGTTAAATTGTATTCATGGAGAAGTTTAAATTTAGAGCTGTTTTTTTTCTTCTACAGCAAAAAAAAATATTCTGTAGTATTTTTTATTACTTTGTAATTTCCTTTTACGTGTCCGTACTGCTCTTAAAGTTGGCTTGTGGAAATCGGCTCCACTCCATTATTTAGAAGTTACCATTGCAACCCAGAATGAGGGGCGTGACCCAAGAAAGCACTAGTTTTCATCTCAGCTGTTTCCGTTCCCATTTTTTCTCCAGCAGGACGGAGGCTGAAAACATTAGAAATGCTTTCCGCTAGTTTAAGAGACTGCAAGGTAAGCAGCTCTGAAAATAACGCACTCTTTCAATTATATATTTATTATATTAGTAATATCCTTGTGAAATCACTATTTGATTCTCCCACCTGTTTTTTTTCTAATCGAAATTAGATAAAAGTGCGCACGACTTTGTTAATCGAGAGCCGATATAAAGGTGAACACGATTTTTTTTGTTCTTTCACAAATGTACGATAGCTATAAAGTCTCTACGAAGTAACGTTTTGCTCTTTTTAATGTAACATCTTTGTTATCGATTCACGTTTTCGTATTACTTAAGTGTTTAGATGCCAGGGGTCAAAAGTCAGTAAGGCTCCAAACAACAACCTGACTTTTGCCATACTCCAACTGATACTTCAGGTCAGAGTTCACCCACTGCTATTAATCATATCCAATTAATCGACAGCACGTTTGGACTTTTATACTCTTTACGTTTTACATTAAACTTGTGAACCTTGTGACAACTTGGGAATTTGTTTTCGAAAATGTGATTTATTACATCTTCATACATCCAGGCTAGCACGCTGATGAGATATACTACAATTTGAATTGTAGGGAGGTCTTTAAAAAGTCCTTAAAACAAGCCAGAATAAATTGTTCTTGTAACAAATCAGAGGCCAAGTGAGTTCTAGAACAAGAGTCATGCAGCGAGCCATTTTTTTTACAAAGAGAACATTTTTATTGGTGTAATCTCACTTTTCTTGCTGTGTAAACAAAGGTGAATCTACATCCTGTGATAATGAAATGAAACATTAACTTGTTCTTTTTAGGCATGGCAGTCTGAGGGTCTTCCTCTTTCCACTACCAGCAATGAAGCCTGTAAATTCTATGATGCCACACTTTCACAGGTACAGCACCAAAGTGTAGTTAAAACATTTCTTTTGCAGTAGCCTGGATTTAGGTGATGAAAATACTTTGCATATCCTTCAATGTTATTTATGTGCAGCACAAATGTAATTGTTTAGATTGTCATTTTATATTCGGCATGTTGTATGAACTCTGTGTGACACTGCTCACTGTTTTCTCCAATTTGTACATTCAGAGCAGCCAGATTCTCAGTTTTGGTGAACACACTGAAATAAGAATTGCAGGCCTCTTTTTGGGCATTTTTGGTGTCTGATCATTTAAACTCTTCCTCAGTTGCACACGGCTAATGAGCCAGGTTCATGAAACGGGCTGTGGTGGGTTACTTTAGCATAACTTTGTTTTGATTTCTAACCCTCAGTATGTGGGATGGCGCAATGACCAGACTCTCGGAGGAATAGAAGGATGCCTTTCAAAGATACATGCAGCTGACCCAAACTTTGGTATGTAGGGCAATGGGCAATTGATGAAGTTTTTTTTTTAACTTTCAGCTTGACAATAAGCTAGAATTTACAGAACATACAGGGTTTAAGGTTTAGCCTTATTGAGTTTAAAAGACCTTTCTGACCTACAGTGATCCCTTGGTCAGAGGTGTGCTTGAAATATCAAGATGATCAAAGGTTGTATATATTTGAAGAAGGCTGTATTTCTTTTATTGCAGTATTAAAATCCTTACCTCCAATAGTAGTCATTGGGATTCCTTTCCCAGGGCCAATTACTCTTTGCTTTTTGTGGAAAGTGGGTTTTTATGGGATGTTTTGGTGTTTTATGGGAGGCCAGATGCAACAGGAATGAGAGAAGAGAATCCCCTGAGTCTGAGAGCTGAAGCAAGTGGACGAGTGAAGCATGTCTGGGATAATAGCATAATGAAACCCGTTGAGGCTGAGTAAGGGCCTGTGTGTAGCTGGAGAAGTAATGAAATGATGTGACTTCACTAGCTTAAGTGTAAAAAAAAAATTCTGCTCTTAAGAGAGTTGTTACCTCGATACTTTTGGCTTGGGGGTCTCTTTAAGTGGAGTTTCTTTCTCCCTGCCACACAGTGATGGGTCATGTGATTGGAACCGGCCTGGAGCTGATTGGCACTGGACGGTCAGTCCTGCTGGATGAAAAACTGGCGAGTGCTGTCAGGAAGATGGTGGAGCTTTCAAAGTCCCAGCCCCTCACAGAAAGGGAACGGCTTCATGTGTCTGCAGTGGAAATGTTTTCAAAAGGGTCAGTAAGGGTTTATCTAATGCTCAAGTACTCGTTATTAATGTTATAAGGAAATTTGTGTGGCTTTTCTCTGGGTGCTCTGCTAGGTTAGTTGGCCTCTGGGAAGATTGGCCCTGGTGTGAGTTTGTGGGTGTGTCTGTCTGTGCCCTGAGATGGACTGGCATCCTGTCCAGGGTGTCTATGGCGCTGTTGCTTGCCAAAACAGGCTCTGGCTCCCCTCCTACCCTGTATTGGATGGAGCAGTTAGAAAATAGATGGATGGATAAATTACAAAAAATATTAATCTTCACACATTTAAAAAAAAAAATTAGGTGGGTAGCTGCGTCAGCATGCATAGGCTGCAAAAGAACAAGTAATAGGTTTATTCCATAATGAAATGAGAAGAGAGAAAACACAACGTTTCGGCCGTGGAGCCTTCTTCAGGTGTTTCTACCCACCTGAACTACTTCAACCTACATCTGCTACGACCCACTATGCCTTCCTCCAAATCTTTTTCTAGATCTCTTCGGCATTCCTTCTCTTC